TAGATTTTCAGAATTTTCTGGTGCTTGGAAGACAGATGTGAAATTCCCTGCATTTCAGATCTAGGGAATAGTCTGACCACTTTGAGCACCCAAAGGTGTCTCATGGGATTCTCCCTCATGTCCCATTCGGGTATTTTCCTTCATACAATTCCATATTGAGATTTAGGCATCTGCCATTGTCTTGTCATATCTGACAACATAGTCACTTGTTCGATGGAAGACATAGAGAGGGACATAAATGTGAAGAGATTAAAAAGGGTTCAATAACAGTTTGCAGTGGGACTATCTCTATTTCTTCATAATTTTTAGAGTTGCCTAGTTTTTCCCACAATCAAGCTATTTTTATGAGACCCAGCACCAGCCTGCAAATTGTTCTCCAATCTAGAGATCTTCATTTGCTCTCTTCTTTAGAGTAAAGTTAGGACTTGAACATAGTCTATATTCTCATATTTACATCGTATCATACAGCTTGATGCCCTTTTTTACTACTCCCTTTCCTGTATTCTTACATGATTGTCCCTGAGTGTCCTGTTTCGGGACGTAAACAAACACCCTAATTATTGTTTATTGCCCCCCCCCCCACCCTCATCGTTTTCTCAAACAGTTATTTATAAACAGTGAACACATATTGGTTGCTGATGACTGAAGGATAGCCAAAGAACTACTCTCTTTTGTGGAACTAGCTACTCCCTCGGGGTGAGTTTTATTGGCATCAGCTTTGGCTCCTGCAGATAGACCTCAGCTTTATAAGTATGCAAGAGGATTTAGAATTAGAAGTGTCAGTTTGATGAAATCACTGCTGCTAACTTAGTAAACACCAATATTTTTAAAAATTATTTATTTATTTATTTATTTATTTTAACAGGGAGCAGGGGTGGAGGGGCGGGGGGAGTGAATCCTAAGCAGGCTCTGCACCAGCAGCTCAAAACTCTAGGCTGGGCTCCAATCCACCAACCAGAAGATTATGACCTGACCTGAGTCAAAATCAAGAATGGGAGGCTTAACCAAGTGAGCCACCCAGGTGCCCCATAAACAGCAATATTTTAATAATAACAATGAGTAATAGCCCACTTATGTCTTGAATAGATACATCTGATAAAACTCATTTATTAGTGAAAAATAGAAATAAATATAAAACTCATTATATATATATACATATATATAAAATAAATATATTTAACAAAGAACTTCTTCAAGTGAATATCCTTCTATATTATATATGTGGGAAAAATAGAATTGAAGCCCTTCAATATCATATGCCGAGTTGGTATTGTATACCCAAATGTATATATATTAGAATCCCTTTTTTGTTTCCACCTTGTTTCCAAGTAAATATGCATCCGTACAGAAAAGAGAATGAGCTGTGGCTCCTAATAGAAGGCTGCAAATCCACAACGTTCTGTATCATGCAGCCTCACAACCAACCATCTAGTAGCACAGGGACGTGGAAAGCACAGTTGCTTGCTGAGCTTACTGTAAAAGTCACTTTGGCTCTTGGAAATGGGAATCACTGCCCAATCCCATTAGGTTTCCACCTCATGTCCTTAGACTTACGTCCGCCTCTCTTTGTTCAGGTCTTATCCCTCCGTGTGGGTGTTGAACTCGCCTCCCAGAACAAGGAAGCCTCCTGCCTGTAGTCTGCCCATGGAGTCACCAGGTTAAGGATGTATCTCCTCCCTTCCTGATAAATGCCAGTGTTATCTGCCCATTTCTTTTGTGTGTCTCTCGGTTAGATAGCAGGGTTAGGACATATCAAATCTTGTATTCTCCATGTCCCTTTTATTTTGGAAAGCTTTTGAGAGCTTAACATTTCCCTGTTTCTTGTTGTTCAGACCAAACCATTCCTTACTGAATCCGTTTACTCTTGGCCTCTCGCCTCCTACAGCAAATCCAGGCTTCCCCTTGTCATCTTCAAGGCGCCCGCCCCTATCTCGCCTTACTGTCCTTGTACACACTGCCCCAGCTGTCACTTTTATCTCTATTCCATTTTAACCATGTAAACAGAATAGAATCATTACAACAGTTAAGAGGAAGTCAGGCGATTTCAAAGACAAGCTAGGATGAAAAAGAATGGAATCCAAATTTCTCCATTCTAAAGAAGCTAGTAAATATTTACTAAAACCTTAACTTCTTACAACATAAGAAACTTCCAATTTCCCAGACCTACCTATATCCAAACATTAGTGAGGATAAAATATGCATGACATATATACACATATATATATGTATTGGGTATTAGATCAACCAAATGGTCTTAACTTCTAGAGAATTCTCATTTAAGCCAGGTATGAAGTTAAAGGGACCACTGAAGTAAAATGTTTCAAATCCCTCACATTTCCTTCCATCGTCTGATAGGATGATTGAATCCCTTTTTATATGCAACTTACAAATAGTTGTCTAGCTTCAGCATAAAGCCCTCCAAGCAGTTAGTTCTATTTAAAGAAACTTTCCTTAACTTGAATTGAAATCTTTCCCTTGGTAACCTTCAATTGTTGGATTTTATTTTTCCTCTGGAATCATAGAAGTCATGGCTAACTAAAGTTTCACGTGCAGTTTTCAAATATTTAAAAATATTTATTGTGTTTCATCTAAATTCTCTAGGTTAAATAATCTCACTCACTTCTTAAACTAAGCATTATATCATTTCTTTGGGTACTTGACAATCCAGCTTTGGGTTCTCCACTCTTGCTTACTAAAATTCCTCTTAAACTGTAATGCCCCACACGAAATGCCATGTCACACTGGTAATGAAGTTAAACCAAAACTCTAGTGTGATTTTTTTTACAAAGGCTTTTTCACAAAGATTTTTTCCTAGGCAAGACTTCCTTATTGGGTTCTCGTAAAGTTGGACTTTCTTAATCTCTAGAACAAGGTGACCTTATGTTAATCAGTACCACATTTTAACTAGATTGGTTAATCTATTTATTTTTTGCCTATCAAGAATTTTTTAGATATTGACAGTAGGTGAACATTTTCTGCATCTCCTACAAATTCATGCAATTCACAAACATAATTGGTATGCTGTCTTAGCACTCACCAAAGTCATTAATAAAATACTCTAGCAAAATTTTAAGTTTAATTTTTTTACAAACCTAGAAATTTGTTTTGATCTAGAAGACAATCTAACAACCCACAAAATTTCAAAAGCTCCTATTTAAAAAAAATTTTTTTTAATAGTTTACTTATTTTTGAGACAGAGCATGAGCGGGGGAGAGGCAGAGAGAGAGACACGGAATCCGAAATAGGCTCCATGCTCTGAGCTGTCAGCAGAGGGCCCGACGCTGGGCTCAAACACGCGAGCCACAAGATCATGACTTGAGCCGAAGTCGGACACTTAACTGACTGAGTCACCTAGGCACCCCATCAAAACTCCTATTTTTAACTATGCTTCTAGTGAAACTTTGCTATACTACCATTATTAGATATTTAGAAATAGCAAGTGTGTACATTTTCACAATTTTTGTCCCTATACAATTTTAAACTTTAAAATGATTGTAAAAGTTGACAAAATTTGAAGCATTATCTGTTTATCTCTCCAAAGAAGTTATGTTCAGAGGTTTCTAAAGAATTCTGTGCACTAGACAATATTCTCAAAGCTTCCTCTGTATGGCGTTTCTGATACAGTGTCGAACAGTCTAATAAGGCATAAGTAAAAACCAAAATAGACTTATAAAAGGAAAATGTAGTAATAGTTCAATTACTGATTTGAAAGCCAAGGTTTCTAGAATCTTAATACATCAGAATGTATACTAGCAAATGTTCGTTTTTGTCTTATTTCCAGAGTGTCATTCTTACTTTTAGGGAATATCCATATTTGCCATGTTGAGAACAATCTATAACATACTGAATTCCATAACTTCCCCCCAACCCCTGATGTAAGCATAACTTAGGTAAGAAACTGTAGTTCCAAGTAAACAAACCCAGGCATTCCATTGAGATTTACCTGAGTCTCTGGTTAAATCTCTTCATCTCCTATCAAGCTTCCCTAACTATAACATAAACTGGTGATATGTCACCTCTTTCAAGGGAATTTTTGAGAGTTAATGAATGCACAGTGAGCAATTTAAGGATCAAACACACTGGGCAAAAGACTAAATTTTTATTATAGTGGATACTCACAGCCTTATGTAATCCGCCAGTCTAAACCATGTGCTGCTTTGGCACATGCTTACTGAAAATAGCAGACCAGTTTGTGAGCTGGCACACTGGCAATGCAGCAGATGGACATGCAATGAAATAACTAGCAAAGAGACCCTGTTTCAACATCAAATATGTTTCCTTAGGGCCATATTCCTGGGCAAAAATGTTTTAGTGATGTTGCTGCAAGTAAGGTACGTGGTAAGGTCCTTTGAATTAAGCCTTCACTAACTTTCTCCATCCCTTTGGGAAGTTATCTCTGGCATTCACTCGATGCCTGAAAAATTCATATTTGAAAGTCACAATGTCCTGGATATTTGAAAAATTCATATTTGAGAGTCACAATGGCTTAGATGTTTCAGTAGGAGTTTTGAAACACCAGGGAAGAATGAGGTTTAAATAATACTTGTGTGTGTTTTTTTTTTTCATGAGAAGAAACTATAGTTATCTGGCCCCTTGAGCACACCAGATTAATTGCACACTCTGTCATGATACTCTTTATTTAAAGTTTGTAATCTTCAATCTCTCAAAGCAATGTCATTGCACTCTTTACTAAATCAGAATGTTTCAGATATTTTTGAAAAGTAATACATCCATAGAGTGAGTTAAAAAGAATAGAAATTCATCAAAATAATGGGAATCTCAAATAATTTTCAGGTATTGTCAAATAAGAGTCCTTCGTACTTTAGTATTAATATTACAATTATATTCAGAGAAATGTACATTGAATACATGTCTGCAGAGGCAAACGCATGCCTTAAAATTGACAGTACATCCACACTTTAAGGAAAATCATTAAAGTGACTCATAGGTTGATATTAATTTATTTTGCTCTTTAGTAAGTTTTAATATAATATTTGTCAAGCTTTGCGCAGTGGCAGTATCGTAGCCAGTGAGGGTTACCCGAGGAGTGACTATTGCTAATTGAAAGGATACAAATTTCATTGTTATTCTTGGATATATCATAAGCCTGTCAGCATTAGGAAGCTTTTTGAGAATTAAATTAAGAACAAAAACTACAACAATACACACTTATAACAAAAATGCAATCAAACAATGAAAAGTGCATGATTTTCCTCCAGTAGAAAACCCACTAATGCCTCTCTGAATATGTAACCATTTAATAGTTTCTTTTATTTGTTCAGAAATCTCTTATGTGTGCCTTTTTAAATTTAAAATTTTCATTATGTTTATATATTTAAAATAATATATTTTGGAAGTCTGCATAGGAAGGGCACATCTATTTTAAATAGCTTCATATTAATTATTATATAAAAGGAACTAATATTTATTTAAAAATCCCTCATTAGTGGCCTTTTAAATATCTGATAAGTGTCTCATTACTGATCTTTTCTGAAATTTCTCAGATATTGTCACATATTTATTCCCCCTATGAACCCTAGTGTCATTTTGTCAAGTGCCCCCAAGTGAAGAGTCTGATGGAATTTTAATTGGTATTGAATAGAATTTATGAATTTATTTTGGGAGAATTATAATAATATAGCTTCTTATCAGAGAAATTGTTTTTCCTACAACATCTTGAAGAATATTGCTATCTATCAATTGTGTGATGTCTGGCATATAATGCATCATAGATTTATTAGGTTTTTCATATAGATTCAGTACATATCTGGTTAGGCATACTCAATGATGATGATGATTAATATTATTAATGTGAATATAAGTGATAATTTTTCTCTATATTTTACCCTGCCATTGTTTATATACAGGAAAGCTATTTTCTGTATTAATTGGCTACTTACTTTGCTACATTCTTTTCCTGCTTGTTGATTATATTTTATTCTCTTGAGTTTTCTTGTGTGTGTAGTTGTACCATCTGAACAGAGTGTTAAATTGTCATTCTCCTTGCAAATCTGTATGCCACTTATTTCCTTCTCTTCTCTAATTGCAGTGGCTAGATTTTCCAGAATATTGTTCAATAATACTGATAAACTAAGCATCTGTTTCATTTCTATCACTTAAATAAAATGTGTTTAGCGTTAAGCTGTTAAAATGTATGTTGGCTTCTGGTTTTCAATAGCTCTATCTCTAGATCATTATGTCAAAAAATAACCCATCTATTTCTAGGATAATAAAGGTTCTTATTTGATCACTTATGCATGTTTATTTTAGGGGATACATTGTGTAGTGACTGTTTCTCCCCACTCTTTGTACACATTTCCCACTCTATTGACTTTGAAATGAGTCACATGACTTGGTTTCACCAGTGATATGTAAATGCAGAAGTTTTAAATGGGTTGGTATAGTTTTTCCCAACCCTACCTCTTTATCCTATGCCTTTAGAATAGCATGCTTTAGATGGATTACTTCTTCTCTAACAGCCTGAGTTGTTAGAGAACCCTGTCAGCCCAACCCAGCTCAACATAGCCTAGTGGGGCTCTGTAGAGTCCAGTCATATGGTGCCCCATAGAACTAATGTAAGCGACGAGCAGGTGACAAAATATTTATTTGTTTTTTTGTAGATACATATTCAACATTTCTAAATGTTTGATAATTAACCTCCTATGTTAGTATGCTTTATGAAGGGAAATGACCTTTACATGTCTAAGATGAAACCTATCTGCCCACAAAATGTTATTTTATTCATATACTTAATTTGATTTGATATTTTCTTTTGGAATTGGGTATCATTTTAGTAAGTGAGATTTGTCTACAGTTATTTTGTAGACAAAATATTTTGTAGCCAGTTATTTTGTCTGGCTTTGGTATCTTTGTCAAGTTTTACTTTTCGTGATGGGTAGATTTCAAAAAAGAATTTAGAAACTTTGTTCTGAAAGTTATGTTTTAGATAAGCTGACATAATATTTGGATTTGTTTATTCACTTTTTATTTGAAAGAGTTTACCAATAAAACAATGCAGACTGGTTTATTTATTTATGTTTTTCTAAAAGATTTATTTAATTTAGAAAGAGAGAGACACAGAGTGCAAGTGGGAAAGGGTCAGACAGAGAGAGAAGGAGACACAAAATCTGAAGCAGGCTCCAGGCTCTGAGCTGTTAGCACAGAGCCTGATGCAGGGCTGGAACTCACAAACTGAGATCATGACCTGAGCTGAAGTCAGCTGCTTAACAAACTGAGCCACCCTGATGCCCCAACTTGTTTATTTTTATAGGCAGTTCTTTGATAGTATTTCAATATCATTTGTTTTTGGCCTAGTAAGAGTTTATGTTTATTTTACTAAAAACTGACATTTCACTTGGATTTTCGTTTACTTTGATAGCATTTTGCAAAATACTGCCTTATAATTCTTTCCATTTTTCGATCCTATATTTAGTTATTTACTCATCTTCATTTTAAATTTTATCATTTGCTTGGACTACTTAAATAGATCTCTGTTTTCACACTTATGAACATATTGCCTAATGTCCATGCAGCGGCCAAGAAGATATATTTAAAATAGAAATTATAGTAAATCATTCTCCTGATTAATCATTGCCAAATTTCACCTTGCAAACATTTGTATTCTTTTTTAAAAAACTTTTTTTTAAATATTTATTTTTGAGAGAGAGGGAGAGAGAGAGAAAGAGTGACAGAGAGAGAGAGAGAGAGGGGGAGAGAGAGAGAATGAGCAGGGGAGAGGCAGAGAGAGTCAGAGACACAGAATCCGAAGCAGGCTTCTGGCTCTGAGCTGTCAGCAGAGTCCAATGCATGGCTGAACTCAGGAACCTCAAGATCATGACCTGAGCCAAAGTTGGATGCTTAACCGACTAAGCCACACTGTTGCCCTGCAAATATTTTTATTCTTTCCATTAGTTATGACTTTCTTTCGAGGCTTGAAAGTATCTTGTCCCTGCCTGAGGTCTTTGAATTGGTTTTTTTCTTAAGTCTAGGATATCATTTCTCTACAAAACAAGTTCTAAACCTTAGCTGTACATTGAAATCAACTGGAGTATAATGAAAGAATACTGACACGTGAGAACCACTGTCACAGATTCTGATTTGATCGATGTGTATGCAGCCTAGGAGTTGTAATATTTAAACCCTCCAAATGCTTTTAATGTGTAGAAAAGTTGAAGACTCACCTCCCAAGGTAAGTAGTTTTCAACCACAGATGCACATTTCAACCACCTTGGGGGAATTTAACACATAATATACCTGTGCTCTAACCCAGATCAATAAAGTTAGGATTTTGAAAAAGGGAAGTGGGAACAGTTGAATATTTTTCAAAAGCTCTTCAGTTGATTCCATTGTGCAACTGGAATCAACAATGTGCGACTGTACATTGTGAGTCCTCAAACTTAATATGGGTTATGTTTACTACCTACTTTTTGTCACTTACCACAATCAAAAATGTATTTTATCTATTTATTTTGGGCCTGATTTTTTTCTGTTAATATATATCCATTATGTATTATTAACTGTTGTGACCCAAGTGCCTAGAAAAATACCCATCACTGAATTAACAAATTGTATACTGTCTTGTTTCATTTAGTAAATTTGATATAATTTGTTGTTAATCTTGTAACTCTTGTTTTATCTTTTTTAAAGCATTTGAATAATATAGATTCTCCACCACCCCTGTGCTTTATACCATGGTATCATTTTTTTCTTAGATGTCTCTTATACATATATGGCACATAATTTGCTAGAGTTCCATCCTTTTTGGAATTGGAAAAGGATATAAATTTCTAGCCATTTTTTATGTGAATTGTCTTATTCTCTTTAGCTTTAGTAATTTTTAAAAGTTCCATATTTGTATCACTTTTGAATTAAGTGATTGCAAGCAAAAGATCCTCCATTTGTGTGGTGAATGACTTATTTAAGCACTATAAATTACAAAAAAGCAAAGAAAGACCTTCAAATTTAAGAATAGATATCAGTGTTCCATCTAGATTCTAGTTGCTCGGATGTATCAGGTTCAAGGATAATTTAGACTGACTAATAGGATCAAACGTTGGATAAAGATAAAACTTAACATGCTTTTCAATGCAGAGATGATAAACAAAGACATGATTTAAAATTAAGGAAATTAAACTTTCAGTTGATTCTGTGGTTGTATGACCAAGAGTAAAATTAGATCAATTGGATAGAAAGCTATGATCTATCTTAGGAATAGGATCGTGAATCTATGCCCACACATGCTGGACTATTACCACTGGGACTTCCACAAACAGCAGTAAACTTCAAAATACTATACCTAGGGGAAAAGGATAAACAAGAAAAATATTCATTCTTCAGTGTAAGAGGTGGGAAACAGGCTTATCTTTCATTACCTGGTCTATTATTAAGAATAAACACATCTCCCGAGAATTTGTAAGCATTGCCTTGTATTTTAAGTATGTTTCATGTTCAAATGTACTTTATCCACATAATCTGAGAATCTTTCAGCCACCAATTAAAGGTAAATTTTTCTCTCACACCAATGATTAATCTGTTGTGCAAGACAGAGCAAATGCAAAGGCATTCTAGAACACTATAGTGCGAACTTGAATGTGATCTGTGGATTGATGCTCCTTCATGAAATGATTGCTACTTGTCGGTGACAAGATAGGTACAGAAAGTGAGTGTTAGAAATGGTTGTAGCAGTTTGACAGAATAATTAATGTAAATTTTTTCTATTATTTTTAAAAAATCTAGCACTTGCATTTTTATGTCTCAGTTAATTTATATTTATTATTATAATTAGTTTTTTAAAGTTTATTTCTTTATTTTGAGAGTGTGCACAGGAGGAGTGGAGACAAAGTGAATCCCAAGCAGGCCTTGCACTGTCAGTTCAGAGTCCCATGCAGGACTTGAACTCATGAACTACGCGATTATGACCTGAGCCAAACCCACTGAGCCACCCAGGTGCCCCTCTAATAATTACTTTTTATTTTACTTGTAGAAGTATCAATATATGATGATTTGAAAGAAAAAAGTGGTTTTTCACTACTGATCCTTTGAGAGGCAGATGTAACCAATGCCAGATAGCAAATAATCCAATAGATAAAATCTATTGTACACTGCAAAATTACAAGACACATGAGGTGATTTAAAAA